AAGGTGCTTCCACAGGAACCAATATGAATTTATTAGGATATGTGTGTGGTGTTTGTTCTAATTGCCAGTTCTGAATGAAAGCAAAACACATCTCAGGAACAATAATTTTCTTTGCTTGAAGAAAAAATAGTTACTTATTGATCCTTCAGGAATCCCCAAAAAACATTACAACACTTTCTTTATGTAACACGAGGGACTCTGTTAGGGTCTCCCAAATTTGTCTCAAATTTTAACAAGTTTTGATGCTTAAATACAGATACCTCAAGAACTTAATGAATGAGATTTGTTGTAAATAGTTTAATTAGATTATCAAAATAATTCAGCATTTTACTTCTGCCGCTTCGGATTTTCTCGTACCTCTCCCACAAACTGGGTGCCAAACTTTTGTCTCCCTTTTCCACCTCCCCAGATTTCCATAACCCCCCAAAAAAATGAAGAGATGGAAGGGGGAAAAGGGGCTGGAATTAATTTAATGGCTGAGCAAGCTCACAGTGGAGAAACAGCCGGAGCCTAATAGGGGCCTTTGTCTGCATTTCCACCCTGGCTGGGAACGTGCCAGTCAAAAGTCAGGCAGGAGGAACAGGTGGGAACTATTAGACCTGTCATAAAGTTTGAAAAATTGATTCTGGAGGCTGAGGGAATAGATTGGACTTGACAGTGTTGTCCTAAAGATTCTAAGGGAAAGTTGTGTTGTTTAATTTGGGATCCCTTGATTGTTCATTAGCTCTCCAGATGGTGGTTGGGCCGTTTGGTGCTCACTGTATTGGCCCTGCCTGCGTTTGTGTGTCCTGAGATCACACCAAAGTGGGAATTCACCTGTAGGTACCCAAAATTTAATGGCATTGGCCTAATTGTCAAATAAAAATTCCTAAAAATGTCATCTGTTGTTTTAAATTATCAGTATTCCTTCTGTGATTTCATGTTCAAAGTCCTTTCAGGCTATTTTTTAAAGCACTGCAACTTTTATTTCTCGAACTGAAATTTCAAATTTTCCCCAAACATTGTTTTTTTTTTTTTTTCTCTAGATGGAAATTCTTTCTGTGAGCTTCAGAAACCTTTTCTTCCCAGATGTTTATCCTAATGCCACCTGAGCAGGTTAACCCTGCCAGAAACAGTTCCACTTTCTGTGGCTCCTCAGAGCATCCCTGGGAGTGCGGGTTTTAAAATGAAACCATTGTTGTTGAGGCTGCATCTGGTGTAGTGATACAAGTGTTATATTATAGACTTAAAATGGGTGTATATATAGTGTATATATACATTATACACTTACTACACTCATAAGGGTTGAGATTAACGAAGAATTATTTCTATTTCTAATATTTTTGCACACCCTAATTGGCTGGAATGGTTTCATGAGCATTTCACTAAAATTAAATGAATGAGATAGAAATTTCAGTTTTATTCTTTATCTTAGATCCTGTTTCAATATTTTAGTTGGCAGAAAAATTGATTTACACATGACTAAGCCAGCATGGGATATATTCTGTATAAAATGCCATAGTGGATCCCTTTTCCCCAATATTTAAGAAACACAAAGTGCCATTGTTAGGGAGAGTTTGACACAAAAGTGGTGAATTTTAGTGGAAGTGAAATATGGGCTGAGGTTCCTTTCATAACTGCTGAATAGTATATGTAAATAAAATGTCAATTGAGAATAAACAATTTCCAAACAGCTAAAAGCTTTGCAGGATAAAGTCTTTTCTATTGTTGGCATCCTTTTACTTTTCTAGATTCATACTGCTGAATTTTGAAAAGCTGAACTGCAGCTCTAATTTTGGGAAGTGAGCATGTAGACTCATTTTATTGAAAACTCTTGGTTTAGTTGGATTGAAATATGGATGATGCTGATGCAGGTCTGAGTGAAGGAAAACCAGTGTGTAATTGAAGGAGATGGGAATGGCACTTCAGGGGCAAACAAGCTGAGATTGACAAACTCTGTTAGGGACTGGGGGATTTTTCATTTGGTTTTCAAGTCCTTGTGATGTTTTACTCTGTGTTTAGTTATTCCTTGCACCTCCCCCTTATTCTCCATTGAAACTGTATTTTTTAAATATTTGAATGATATTATAAATATATAGTTGATATAAATAATTGAATGATTGGGATGAGCTTTAAGACCCCTTCCCACTCAAAGCATTCCACGGTTCTTTGTATTTTAGCATGGTGAGACTCTCCCAGTACATTTTTAGCCTGCTAAAAATGAGTATTTTGTCACAAACATTAACAGTTTATATAAATTAACCCTCTCTACCCTCGTCCCTCAGGAATTTTGGTTGGGGAGTTAGACAATACCATAGTGTACAGGAAGGATTCTTCCTTACAGGAAAGGTGCCTTTCTCTCAGGAAATTGGAAATTTAAATAGGAAATTATAAAACCATGTGCTGTTCCATAGGTCAGATGCATTTTAACACTCTACATCTTCTATACTCAATCTTTTTTGCAGTTACATAACCCCAAAAAACTTTTGTCAGTTTGGATATTGAGGTCATAATAGCTCATGCTGCCTTTAAAAACTCAGATCCCTTGGTTTTGTGAACCTGTAGGATGGGATAGGAATGCTGTGCTTGATTAATGTCTTATAATCTGAAGTTTGATACTAAGAGCAATAGACCTGCTCTTCATATTCCTAGATATAGGAGTGTATATAATATATATCATATTGCTTCATTATTCACATCACTTTTATTACTAACTTTTAAGCTTCCATTTCTTAATTTATTTGCGTGGCTGAAAGACTTTTTATCCTCCAAACAAAAAAAAGTTGGTGCATTAAATAGCTGATTCTGTGCTTTTCTTCCTTAAGGGTGTTTTTATACAGGCAGTGTTTTGTGCCTTCCTTTGGTGCTAAAGAGCAGCTCAAATAACAGAGTAAAGTTTGTTTCCCTTAAATCAAATCAAATTAAGTTCAACAGTAGGGTTTTTTGTTGCTAATTTAATTTTAAATGTATAATATTTCATACTTTATTCTGCCATTCATTTATGGGCAGTGTTTTGCACCAGCCAGTGCTGGAGGAAGCTCAGCCTGATAACAAAAGATCACGCCGGAATTTTTGAATTTTTGGGACACAGCCAAGAGTTTGTTCCCTCCCTGGCCTGTAGAAAGGGAGGAATTCGGAAGTTTTTGGCACTGATTTGGTCCTGTGCCATTCCCAGACTCTTCCATGCCATCCCATTTTCCACGACACACTTGCTGAAAGATTTCTCTATTGGGATTTGGCATCTCCTTTGCTTCAGTTTTCCCTGATTTTCTCTCCACCTGTTGTGCACCATTCCTGAGGGCACCGAACAATCAGGTCCCTATTTTCCTGTCACGCACCTTGTGGGGTTGATTTGCCATGGAACTGAAGGCAAAATGTGCCCTTTTTTTTTTATTTTTTAATTTTTTTTTATTGTTGTTGTTGTGTAAAATCAGTGCATTTTCTTCCTATTAACAGAGTGGGCCCCCCGCTTGCAGTGCAGAGGGAGGTTTGGCATTCCCAATGGAATGGAGTCATAAAATAAAGATTCCCGTTTGGCAGAGCAATTAACCCGTGCTGAACTCCGATGGGAGATTGGGTTTCCCTGCTGCTGGAAGTTCCTGAACAATGCCCATTATCACAGGGACACCAACACAGCCCCAGCAGCCTTGAGTCTGGGGGGAATTGTTCTTTAAATCTGGGAGAATTGTTCTTAAATCTGAGGGGAAATATTCTTTTAATCTGGGGGGAATTGTTCTTTAAATCTGGGGGGAATTGTTCTTTAAATCAAAAGGGAATCCATCCTTAAATCTGGGGGGAATCGTTCTTTAAATCTGGGGGGAATTATTCTTTTAATCTAGGGGGAGTCATTCTTTAAATCTAAAGGGAATCATTCCTTAAATCTAGGGGGAATCATTCTTTAAATCTGAGGGGAAATGTTCTTTAAACCTGGGGGGAGTTTGTTCTTTACATCTGGGGGAAATTGCTCTTTAAATCTGAGGGCAATTGTTCTTTAAATCTGAAGGGAATCCATCCTTAAATCTGAGGGGAACAGTTCTTTAAACTTGGGGGAATCATTCTTTAAATCTGAGGGAAGTTATTCTTTAAACATGGAGGGAATTGCTCTTTAAATATGGGGGAAATTGCTCTTTAAATCTGAGGGGAATAGTTCTTTGAATTTGGGGGAATCGTTCTTTAAATCTGGGGGAATCGTTCTTTAAATCTGGGGGGAATTGTTTTTTTAAATCAGAGGGGAATTATTCTTTTAGTCTGCGGGGAATCATTCTTCTAAAGGGAATCGTTCCTTAAATCTTAGGGGGAATTGTTCTTTAAATCTGGGGGGGAGTTGCTCTTTAAATCTGAAGGGAATTGTTCTTTAAGTCTGAGGGAAATTGTTCTTTAAATTTGGAGGAATTGTTCTTTAAATTTGGGGGAATCATTCTTTAACTCTGAGGGAAAATGTTCTTTAAGTCTGGGAGGAATTGCTCTTTAAATCTGAAGGGAATTGTTCTTTAAGTCTGAGGGGAATCGATCTTTAAATTTGGAGCAAACATTATTTAAGTCTGGAGGGAAATGTTCCTTAAATCTGGGGGAAATTGCTCTTTAAATTGGGGGGAATTGTTTTTTAAATCTGGGGGGAATTATTCTTTAAATTTGGGGGGAATCGTTCTTTAAATCTAAAGGGCATAGTTCCTTAAATCTGAGGGGAATTGTTCTTTAAATTTGGGGGAATCATTCTTTAAATCTGAGGGGAAATGTTCTTTAAATATGGGGGGAATTGCTCTTTAAATATGGGGGAAATTGTTTTTTTAAATCTGAGGGGAATTGTTCTTTTAATCTGCAGGGATTCGTTCTTTAAATCTAAAGGGAATCAATAGTTAAATCTGGGGAAATCGTTCTTTAAATCTAAAGGGAATCAATCGTTAAATCTGGGGAAATCGTTCTTTAAATCTAAAGGGAATCATTCCTTAAATCTTGAGGGGAATTGTTCTTTAAATTGGGAGAATCATTCTTTAAATCTGAGGGGAAATGTTCTTTAAATCTGAGGTTAATTGTTCCTTAAATCTGAGAGGAATCGTTCTTAAATCTGAGGGGAATAATTCCTTAAATTTACGGGGAATTGTTCCTTGAATCTGAGGGGAATAATTCCTTAAATCTGAGGGGAATTGTTCTTTAAATCAGAGGGGAATAATTCCTTAAATTTGAGGGGAATCTTTCTTCAACTCTGAAGAGAATCATTCCTTAAATTTGAGGGGGATCTTTCCTTAAATCTGAGGGAAATTGTTCTTTAAATTTGAGGGGAATTGTTCCTTAAATCTGAGTGGAATCATTCCTTAAATCTGAGGGAAATAATTCCTTAAATCAGAGGGAAACCCTGGCAGGCTCTACAGTTAAAACAAGAGTGAAGGAATGGTCATGGCAGGGTTTCTGTTCCATTTTGCTGGTTTGTTTTACATGGTGCTGTTTTCATGCCCACATTTTAAAAAAGGGATTGGTAATAAAGTTGAAAAAATGGAATGCTGAAGTTTCAAATCATTGCAGCTTTTTGAAGAGGAGGATTAGCTTATGATCCATGTAGCAGAATACAGTATGCTATAATAAATACGATATCTTGTTATAAGTAATATTAAATGCAACATATTATGTGTACATTATTGCTGTTGGTTTGCTAATTCTATGGTTGTCAATTTTGCTCTTGGAATGTAACTTTTATTTCGGAAAAGGAAATGCTGCCTAAACTTAAACTGCCCAGAAGCACTCAGGGATTAAAATTTGTACTTCATTGAGAAAGATATCCTTGTGTTTATCAAATAGCCAACTTTTGCTTTTTTACATGAGCTCAGATAAGAATATAGTCTTAAATAAAGTCATGTGCCTCTAAAAATAATTTTAAAACCTCAAACCCAGTCATAAATCAATCTAGGGCAGTGTATGGACTTAAAAAGGGGAGGGTATGGCATAGAAAAACTTGGTATGTTATTAATCACAGAATCATGGAATGTTAGGGTTGGAAAGGGACCTTAAAGCTCATCCAGTGCCACCCCTGCCATGGCAGGGACACCTCCCACTGTCCCAGGCTGCTCCAGCCCCAGTGTCCAACCTGGCCCTGGGCACTGCCAGGGATCCAGGGGCAGCTTTAAGGTCCCTTCCAACCCAAATAATTCTGGGCTTCTATGAAAGAGCCAAAGGCTGAAGAACTACAACCAAATGCCATTGCATAAAGTCAGAATGATTCCCTGAGCATGAATAGATTTATTAGAAACTCAAAGTTAGATCACAGTTTTCCATTTTGCACATCTCCATCTCTTTCCTTTTGTAAAGGAAAAAAAAAAAAAGAAAAAGGAAGAAAAAGAGTTTGATTTCCTGTGGAAGCACAGCAGGAGCTGGAAAACAAAGCATGGCTGCTTGGGGAAGTTCACACAGCACCTGTTCTGATGTGCTTTAGAATAAATACACTGATTTTTGTTTATTCTTATGCTGCCAGTCAGGAGAGAGTGATTTAATTTCAGAATTAATTTCAAGTGCTTGTTTCCAGAGCCAAAAGCTTTGAAAGCTTGTGTAACTTCTAACTTAAGCAATAAACTTAAAAAATCCCACAGAATCTGAATTCTTGCCTTTAATCCCACTGGCCTGATTTATTTTCACTTATAGTGCTAGTTAAAATATTTTAAGAATCTGTTTGTATTCAAACGAGGGCTTGCATTTATCACACCTCATATCATTTAGCCTGAAATGTCACGGCCTGGAGAATGGTGTGTAAAAAAAAGTGAGGTTCCCCCAGTGCAGCTTTGTGATGCCCAGGATTGCTATAAAATCCTGTACCTCATGTTGCTCTCCAGAAATTTACTGGCATTGTTCTTTTTGCTGAACTGTTAAACGTAGATGAACGTCCAGAGGTTTTTTTTGTAAACTTGAACTGACACTATTTTTACACTTTTTTTTACTGATGATATTATCTTACATCAAAAAAAGAAAAACCCGTAAGTGTTTTACAGGATTATTTGCAAACACAAAGCTCTCGTGGCTTGTTGCATTAAGGAGTTGTGGGATGCAGCTATAAAGTGTCCTATGACATTTTAAATTGGATTTATATCCAAATGGATCATCAGGCTGCCCATCACTGAGGAAGATGAAGAGGGAAGACTGGACAAGGAGGAAAAGGATGGAGATGGAGCTGAGACACAGGAAGAAGGAAATAAAAATTCAAGGGAAACAAATTTTTACTGATTATTCTTAAGCAAATACTCCAAGCTTAATGTAAAATAAATGGGATGTAGGGAGATTCCAGCATTAATAGGGGAACAATCATTGTTAAAACATTTATCAAACAATAATGATCACAAGCCCAAGACTCCCCTGTTCCATTGGCAGATTGTCAATTGAAATATAATTATCTCAGTGTTAAAGTTGGATTTTTCTGAAGTTAAAGACTGGTAAGAATTCCAGTTAGGCACATGGTGGTTCCAGTCCTAGTTTTGGGAACTGGGGAGTGTGAGAGAAGGGGAGCACCTTTATTTTGTTGACACTAAATAATAACTTTGCTTGTGGTCATAACTGGTTCTGCAAATACTGGTGTCCTGCTCTGCTGGTTTATTTTTAATCATCCTTTACAATAATACATAAATAACTTACAGTTACAATAATACATAAATAACTAATCTGAATCCCGCAGATTGCTCATATTCCCTGCTTTTAAAATATAAATAGCTAATCTGAATCCCACAGATTGCTCATATTCCCTCCTTTTAAAAATGCCGCTTACAAGATATTAACTTGTACTTTTTGGATAATAAATATTCACTATATTGCATCTGTTAAGTGACAATAGAAAAACTTCAGAGTTCAGATGATCTTGAAGGCCCCTTCCAACCCAACCATTCTATGATTTTATGATTTATTAGCAGCAGATAATGTATAAACTCTGCATGGAGAGTGGTGCCAGATGTGAGAGATAAAAGGAATTGCTGGTGGCCACCTGCCTGAATGCTCATTTCAGCTCTGCTGTGGTGCTTGATGTCATGGAGAATTCATGGGATACAGAATCATTCAAAGGTAGCAGAGCATGGCAGGTTAGCAAGGAGGGATGCTTGTGGAATGCTGTTGGGTTGGAAAAATCCATCTGTTGGGTTGGAAAAGCCTTTTGCCAGGTTTTGAAGAGCAGCTGTGAGTGGATATTTGGGTTTTTCTTCTGATAGGGAAGCACAGAGAGCTCTGAGTGTGAAGGTGTTGGAAATTCAGGGCATTGCTGGGACTGCTGCTGGTTTGGCTGTCTTGTTTTTATCTTAATATTTCTGTCTTTATATCAGCATTGTGCTACCACTCAGTTTAGACTTAGAATCATAAAATTACAGAATTATTATGTTTTATATATTATTCAGAATGGTTTGAGTTAGATGGGACCTTAAAACCCAGCCCTGCCATGGGCAGGAACACCTTCCACTGTCCCAGGCTGCTCCAGCCTAGCCTTGAACGCTTCCAGGGATGGGACAGATTTGGTTTTTCATTTCTATTCTAGACAAAGTTTGCAAATTAATGTTTAGCTTTTTGAGGCAATAAAAAATAAGTTTTCTGTTTGTATTACATTTATTTCTATTCCCCGTATTTTCCTCACAGATTTCCAGTTTTTCCTAATATCAGTAATTTTTATTTACTTTATTTTTGTCGTTGTCTTTAGTTATCTGGGCCTTTTTTTTTGTTTGATTTAATGTTTGAGATGGATAAAGTATTACTTCTTGTTGCTACAGCTTACTTAATTAGTACGAATTATTAAAACTAGAAATTGAACAACTTAAGACTTTCCGTTAAAACAAAAAATTCTTGTTGCAATAATCCTGATAGTGGCTTCCTGATAGGTAAAATCAATAAATTAGAAGAAATCCATCTTACTTCAATTAGAAACTCAAATTTTGGCTTTCTTTATACTAGAAAAAAAAACATTTTTTTCAGCAATGGCTTGCAGAAATAGCAATTTATGGGCTTTTTTCTCCTTGTGTTTTATACAGAAATAGGAGTAGCCAAAAAGAGGTACAGAAATGCTTTTTGGGGTGTCTGCAAGAAGAGCTGTAAAACATTGTACACTCAATGCTGGTTGACTCACCATAAACCAGAGACTGAAAGGGACAGAGAAGCCATTCAGTGTGAAGAGTTTTAGTCCAGTTTTGGGGAGGAGGATGGAAGGAAAAGGGAAGAATATGGGAGAAAAATGGTAATTTTCTTATTTTACACAGTCCAGCTCTGTCAGTAATGTTGGATTCCAAAGTGCAGAGAACTCTCAAAACTTTGAGCCTGGAAGCCAAAGCTTAGAATTAAAGCCAGGATTTGATCTGAGACCTTGGAAAAAGCTCCCAAACTTAGGTGCTAGAAGGGAGAATGTGGATTTGTAGTTTAAAGGAGAGACAAGTTAAGCTAAGTGAAGGAGTTTAAGATATAGAAAAAATAAAAGTAGTTACAGAGGTTGATGCCCTGTGAAGGCTGAGCTGGAGCAAAGGCTGGGCAGAGCTACAGAATAAAGCAGGGATTTATTAAAGGATCTCCTCCATGGATCCACCTTGGGCAGCACCAGAGCCCAGCCAGGGCTGCACCCAAATGACCCAAAATGGCCCCAAAATGCACGAGCGCTCCCGGGGGCTCTCCCTGGGATCAGTTCTGCTCCATTGGCACCTTGGAGTTCATTGTCCCATTCCAGCTTTAGCCCAGGCAGTCCCACCCTGCTTGTTTTTCTCTCTCCAGCCCACGCTGTTTGTGCTCCTGGGCTGAGATTTGGATCATTTGTCCTTGGTGCCCAGCTGGAGCAGGAATTGTTTTGTCTCCCTGCTCTGTGCACACAGCTCAGCATCCCATAATACAAAGCCCAGACCCACACACTAAAGCAGCACAGAATCTAAGAAATAGAAAAGTTCAAACCTGAGGCATCAAGGTAAACAAGGAGTTCAGAATGCAGCACTGTAGGTTTGTGTGCATGATTGGCTAAGAGAGCTCACACTGTAACATGGGTTTTAATAAGATGAAATATTTAAGGATTGGGTCACAAACATAAATATCCTTGTTGGCAGTGTTTTATTGGTCAATAACTCCTTTAAATGTATTATTACTGAGGGTCTTGGGGCCTTCTGAACCATACTGTAACCATGGGAGCTGAATTCCTGCCTGTGTAGAAGATAAGAAAAAGAAACCACATCATCAAAACCAAATGACAAGTCCCATCTCCAATTCCTTAAGAAATTCTCCACAAGTGAATTATCACACACTAATCAGATCTTGTTCCACTCAGGATGTCTGCAGGTTCTTCTTCAGACTCCTCTGGCTTTTATTCCAACATGGCATGGACAGGGAATGTTTGGTAGGAGTGTTTGGGAGTGCAGATAATTGGAATATTTGGATCCTGGCAAATTCCTGTTATTCATCTATTACACTGTTTGGAGAGTTCAACACTCAGTGGTCATCAGACAGATAAAATTACTCATTGATGAATTATCTTTCATTAGGAATTGGGGAATAACTGGGTAGAAACTGGAGCCCTTTCCCTGGGAGGAAAAAGGGAATATTCTCCAGCTGGCTGGGGCTGTAGCAGGGGGTGTTGATGACAACAGGATTATATTGGTTTAGAGGGAAAATGGGAATTTGCCGTGAGGCCTGAGCTTAATAAACTGGTGTGTGCCAACAGCAGAGGTTAAGAGGGGTGAAAAAGTTACATTTTGATGCTTTGCCAAGCTAAGCAGTGAAATATTGTGAGCATGAACCAAGTGAGATGGAATGTGTGGGACTTGGAACCCAAAATCCCAGCGAGTGAGTGACAGTTCCTAAGGGCTGGAGGGTAGAATTCCTTCCTTCCTTCCTTCCTTCCTTCCTTCCTTCCTTCCTTCCTTCCTTCCTTCCTTCCTTCCTTCCTTCCTTCCTTCCTTCCTTCCTTCCTTCCTTCCTTCCTTCCTTCCTTCCTTCCTTCCTTCCTTCCTTCCTTCCTTCCTTCCTTCCTTCCTTCCTTCCTTCCTTCCTTCCTTCCTTCCTTCCTTCCTTCCTTCCTTCCTTCCTTCCTTCCTTCCTTCCTTCCTTCCTTCCTTCCTTCCTTCCTTCCTTCCTTCCTTCCTTCCTTCCTTCCTTCCTTCCTTCCTTCCTTCCTTCCTTCCTTCCTTCCTTCCTTCCTTCCTTCCTTCCTTCCTTCCTTCCTTCCTTCCTTCCTTCCTTCCTTCCTTCCTTCCTTCCTTCCTTCCTTCCTTCCTTCCTTCCTTCCTTCCTTCCTTCCTCCCTCCCTCCCTCCCTCCCTCCCTCCCTCCCTCCCTCCCTCCCTCCCTCCCTCCCTCCCTCCCTCCCTCCCTCCCTCCCTCCCTCCCTTTCTTTTGTCTCACATTTCTCAAGATTTTCCAACACTTTGGATGTAAATTTTCCTTTATTTTATTTGTTTCTTCTATTTTATTTCCTTTATATGCTCTCTAACTCATGTCAGGAAGGCTTTCTACAAAGAGTGCTTATAGCTTTTCTTTAAAATTAAAATCCTCATTCTTCCAGTGTTTTAAGCACACATTTCATCTAGTTTTTTACAAAAATACTTTCAAATGGTGTTGAAAAAAGAAATGTGAATGTGGGGGTTGCATTTACTGGATTCAGAACCAAGTTCTCTGTGTTACTTGACTACATCTGCATTTATCTAATATCCAGCAAAACCTTCTTGGAAACAGGGATTAATTTTTTACAGTGTTGCTTACTATACAAGGAAAGCCTAAGCTAAATTTAGATTACAAAGGATTAGATCAGAGATGAGAAAAATATATAAAAAAAAAAATAACACCAAGAGTCCAACTGTGTTCCAAGTCCTTTTGAGTTTTTCTGGCACTGCGAGATGACTCAGATGAGTTTTTTATTCCTGTGTTTATCTGATGGGTGCTGGCACAGGAGACTTCATTTGGTTGGAGATAAAATTGGGGTGTTTTTCTGTCCCCCAGGGCTCCCTGCTGGGGCTGCAGTTTTGTGGAGCAGCCTGCCGGGAATGCTCATCCATCCTGGCTGGCTGCTGAGCTGCTCTCCAGCAAATCAGGGTGTTTTCTTCCTCTACCTAACCAAATCAAACACCATATTTAAAAAAAAATCAAGTTTTGGCTGTTTGTACAAGCTACAACCACATTGTTATTAAAAAAGAGTCATTAAGGTTTTGTATTATGAAATACCTTTTTTTTATTTTTTATCACAGACAGATTGCTTTGTGGGACACTGTTGAGCTGCTCTCCAGCAAATCAGGGTGTTTTCTTCCTCTATCTAACAAAATCAAACACCATATTTAAAAAAAAATCAAGTTTTGGCTGTTTGTACAAGCTACAACCACATTGTTATTAAAAAAGCTTCATTAAGGTTTTGTATTATGAAATACCTTTTTATTTTTTATCACAGACAAATTGCTTTGTGGGACACTGCTGCGCTGCTCTCCAGCAAATCAGGGTGTTTTCTTCCTCTATCTAACCAAATCAAACACCATATTTAAAAAAAAAAATCAAGTTTTGGCTGTTTGTACAAGCTACGACCACATTGTTATTAAAAAAGCTTCATTAATGTTTTATATACTTTTTTTTTTTAATCACAGACCAATTGCATTTTGGGACACTGCTGCACTGCTCTCCAGCAAATCAAGGTGTTTTCTTCCTCTATCTAACCAAATCAAACATCATATTTTAAAAAAATCAAGTTTTGGCTGTTTGTACAAGCTATGTCCACATTGTTATTAAAAAAGCTTCATTAAGGTTTTGTATTATGAAATACCTTTTTATTTTTTATCACAGACAAATTGCTTTGTGGGACACAGCTGAGCTGCTCTCCAGCAAATCAGGGTGTTTTCTTCCTCTATCTAACAAAATCAAACATCATATTTTAAAAAAATAAAGTTTTGGCAATTTGTACGAGCTACAACCACATTGTTATTAAAAAAAGCTTCATTAAGGTTTTATATCCTTTTTTTTTAGTCACAGAGGTTCGTGTGTGATTTCTTTACGACAGTTTTCTGTTTATGTGTTTTTTCTAGTTGAGAATTATTGATCACATCTTTTTTTAAAATGTTATATAATCATACAGATTGCATTGGTTATTTTATAAATATGTTAGGGTTGTTTTTATTGTCAGTTAGTTACAAAAACAAAAGCATTAGTTCTTATTTAACAGTTGCAGCTACTTCTGCAAAAGTTAAATGTACAAAACATACTTTAATATTAGCCAAAACTATATATATTTATCACATCAAAACCAAATATATTTATCAAAACTAAATATATTTATCACATTTTATACAAATGAAAATATAATTTATAAATGATGTTCTGAAAATACAAGTAACACAGTGGCCAGAGCGCTGGCCACAAAAGTGGACAAATTGTACTTATGAAAAGCTGTTAAAAGTGATTACAAACTGAACTATATCAAAATTGCTATGATTAATAACTTGTAAAAGTTAACTTAAAATAATGAATCAATTACTTAGTTATTTATAACAGTGGGGATGCAACATTTCCTTCCCAGGCTCTGCTGCTCTTGGCAGACAATTTAAAGGTTGATGTGTGACAGCTCTTGTTTGTTTAATATGACTTGAACATTGTCCTTTTTTAGGAATCAATGTCATAGATCAGGGCCACCATTTTACAGCACTTCCCAGTAAATAAATTTCCAAGGGAGCCACCAGTGTGATTCTCTGGGAAAGGCAGTTAACTGAACAGAAAATCTTTTTATTTCAGGGACAGCCAGTGTGCCTTTTTGTGGGTAAACAGGTAGAACTGACGGTGCTGAGTTCTGTCTGAGCAAATTCTGTAGGAGAAGGTCAGACATTTCAAATTAAAACTGCTGTCATCCTCTTGAATGAAATTGCTCAGGAAAAGCTGATTTCTCTTAGGAAGATGCTGCAGATTCTTCCCCAGTGGAGATTCCTGGGCTGTATTTCCACCTCAGCTGTTTGAACAGTCCCAGGTTGGATGTGGTGACCCTGGAGAGGTTTTTTCCAGCCCTAAGGGCTCCATGATTCTGTCTTTGCAGAAGTTTCTGAATCTGGGTACCTGCCTGGGAGGCACCTGGTGGTACAGAGGATTTCAGTGCTTTGATTTTAGGCAGCCTCAGCGAGAGTGAAACTTTCAGCTGAGGTTGAGCTCAGTTTTCTTGTTCTCAGATGAGTTTGTCCAGGGAAATTTGAACTTAATTTGAACACAAATGAAGCTGAGAGTGGAGGACTCTGAGCCCTACAGGGACAGGAGAATGAGGGGGAAGGAGCCTGATCTTTCTTTCCCTTTTCTTCCATCATCCCCAAATATCTGTGATTTTTCAAGCACTACAGTTTTAGGTGTCATTTGTCTCTTCCATGTCTGCGAGATGGTGCAAAGGTTTGTGTATTGGAGGAGGTGTGAGCACCTCAGAGCAGCTTTCCAAGGTCCGAAGGAGCCACAGAGGAGCTGGAGAGGGACAGTTCATCAGAACTGGAGTGACAGGACACAGGGAATGGCTTCAAACTGCCCCAGGGCGGGGCTGGATGGGAGATTGGGAATCAGGAATTGTTCCTGGGAGGGTGGGCAGGGCTGGGATGGAATTCCCAGATTCCCTTGGATCCCTGGCAGTGCCCAAGGCCAGGCTGGACACTGGGGCTGGAGCAGCTGGGACAGTGGGAGGTGTCCCTGCCATGGCAGGGGTGGCACTGAGTGGGCTTTAAGTCCTTTCCAAGCCATCCTGTGCTTCTAAATCCCAGTAGGAATTTAGTGTATTTGCATTAGTTCCAGATAATTCCTCGTTGTGAATTTTTATTCAAGAAGCTGCCACTCTTACAACCATGTAATTACAGAGGAGCAGAGCTGTCGAGATGATTTCTTTGACTTGGATTGGAGCCATGCTGTTTTCAAATGGTAGAAACAATAAAAGTCAGTAGCATTTTCACTCCATGTCTCAGTAAGCTGCATGAAACCTGGTGGCTGTGTGGGTGACAGCAGTGGACAACTTCATTTAAAAGTTCAGGCATTTATGTCAAGAATTTGAAGCAGAGCAAATCTGTGTTATGGCTTTATGATGAACCCTTTGATTTAAAATCTGTTGATTTAGTTCCTGTTAGATGTGTGCTGATACAAATGGTGCCTTGCTGAGAGGAGAGAAGGGGGGAAAAACATCCATGTGTAGAACAGCAAGAGAAGAATAAATAGAAAGATTCCTCATCAAAAATGCCAACATGAGGAAATACT